AACTTCAGAAGGAAGCTATGTCAAAAGAGTCACTATTAAAAAAAAAAAAGCAAATGTCCATGAGGGGGAAAGAGAAGATTAGAAGAAGATGAAGCAAGAGATACATTGCTACTCCTCTATCAGAAAGTCACACTGGGACAGACAAAAATGGTAAAAGTGGTGGTGGACTCTTAGTTTTCAAACACGTAAGAGGCAACGAGATGGGAAGGAGAGAACGGATTAATGTGCATAAATAATCTATTTGGAGAACTGCAAATTTCCAACTTATATTCACAATGTATAAAAGCAAAGTGTGTATGGGAACATGTTAGTCTGGATTAGAAAACTCCACTGCATTTTCTTACCATCAGTATATCCATGAACAAGAAAGTTTTTAAGACTTGTCTAAGTCTAGCGTAGCTTTATAGCACCAGCTCTTTATAGAACATGGTCTGAAAATCTGGCACCCGTCTTCTCCAATTCTTGAACTCCTGACTGACTGTAGCCATGCTTTAGGGTTGTGCTGACACACAAATGGCAATTCTTATTTGACCTCAGATTCCAGACCTGGCTTGTGTTAACTTCACTAATGCTGAATTAATATTGTATAAGAGAAGGGGAGTGGGACATATTGAAACAAAAGAAAGGTGGGAATTTATGTTGAAAATGGGAAGTGGGAGGATGTGTTTTCTTAATTTGCAGCCCTGGTTTTCTGAGAACACACCTTTCATGGTTTCCATTTCATCCTGAAGGCACAAGCAGATTTCAGAGATGATCAAGCAACTATTTGCTTTTAATTATGCATTTTTAACAAAATGCCAGATTAAAGCTCAATATATGAAAAGGAATATATTAAAGAAGCACGTGTAACATCCAACTTCATTTTTAACAATGATTTGTCTTTTAGTTTGACCCTCTGCTCCCAAATGGAGGGTCGTATTAAAGGAAAACAGTCTTTCTGCTATCTGATAAAAATCTGGAATAAGAATTAGGGTCTTCAGGACCTTCTAATTTATGATTAGCATAAGCTGACCCTGTCTGTCTGTCTGTCTGTCTGTCATCTCAATTTATATGGCCACCCATCTCATATTCTAACAGCTAACGACCATTAAAAACTATACAAAAAACAAAGATAGAACCATGTCTTTAAGGGTTAGAACCATGTCTTTAAGGCCTTGCGAAAAACCAGTTGGGTTGAGGCCAAGTTAATCTCGGGGTGGGGGATGATGTTCCAAAGAGTGGGTGCCATGACAGGAGAGGTCTCTTCCTGGACCCCACCAGTAGACAGGACCCAGAGTATGCCTCTCTTACCAAAGTGGATAGGACAAGTAGACATAATCGGGGATCGGGGGTCCCTCTAACAACCTGGCCCCATACAAAAGCAGTAGAAGCTTTAGCATTTTATCATAAATAGATTTAAATGCAGAAGCATTTCAGCATGAAACTG